GGGGAGGGGGGCAAACGCGGGTGCAGCAGTGTCACAATGTACGATGTGTATGGGGTCATTCGGCTCACTGCGTGCACCTGCTCCTCTAGTACCTATGATTGATTGTACGTATTGGTAGGTAGGCAGAGAGGCATGGACCCGGGTCGCTTCACTTCGTTACGGGCCTCATGTAACTGCATGTTGCCGGTCAGGTCAGTGAAACTCGACATTATTTTACATTTTGATTGTTATTGTCATCTTCTATTATAAAAATTCGTTTTATCCTGAGCTTCCAACATACTTTTCATCAACGCCATCAGTGCATAAAAAAAGGATACTTTGACCCCTGGATGAAGGGGGCTGCAACTCCGCGACGTTGTGTTACTCGCAACCCGTACGGAGGTTGTTCAGTACCCATTGGGCTCTTAATCGATAAGGAGATGTCTGAGTGAAAGACATGATCGACCCAAGCATTCGTCAAACTAACAGTGCGGGTATATCCAAGTGTTGACGTTTTGAACCTGATTCCAGTTCAATATTGTAACGATCAAGGATATCCGCCACATTGTCATTCAGTCGAACATCCTGAAGCAATCGAGCTCCTAGTGTCACGCAAAGACCTTCGGCTTCACTACCCGGTGTATCGTGGCTAATCGATGTACAAATCAGAGGGCTGTGTTACCGTATTTCGGTCGAGCCATCGGTGAGCATGAGGCGCGCCGCGTGATAGCTGCAAAATCGATGCGCTGCAACTGGAAGCTTTGTGTAAGAACATCACATATCTTTCCTTTTGGCGTCTTTCAGGGTTGTAATAGTACGAGTAGGAAAGCGTAGGAGCAAAGAAGCAAAGAACATATCATACTCGTGCCTGGGAAATATCATGGTCAAAGCACACGGGACACTGCATGCCTATTCAGACCCTTCCATTTCATGATATCTCTGATGCGCCGACACAGCGAACAAAGGAATACAATGACCACAAAGAGGACACAAAGCATTGTCACCCGTTTCCCAATCATTGTCTTCCTCTTCTTCACCGTCGCCTTCTGACACCGTTTGTGTAATTTCCTCACTCTGTGCGACATGCTTGTCTTCCATCACTTGAAAGGGCTTCAGCACTTCGTCCTGACGTTTGAACATGACAGATATATCCCTGCCTGCTCCTGTCTTGTCATCCGCTGCACCAACAACCATGTTTGCCACGCAGATATTGAGCATCTGTAGATTCCATCGCTGTCCCTTCTCCGGAGACAGACGCCGGAGCAGTGGCAACAGAGCTTCACTAACAAGCCTTTCCGCGATATGAGCTATGTCATCTTTGGAATCGAAGATAAAAGGCGGTAGAGACCCAGATCGAGAGACCCGACTGTAATTCTGGCCTTGCGCTGAGTGCAGATACGCCCATGTCCTGAGCGATAATCGCAATGTCTTTGGTCGGGCAATCCATTTTTGTGCCCCTGGAGTGTCTGCCCCATCGTCAGGTACAAGAAGGTCTGTCCTCATTCTCCTTATGAGTGAGCACGATAGCTTGTGTAGCTCTTCCGTTATTTGTGCCAGCGTATCTAAGCCCTTATAGGTATCTTCGATACTGATCTGGGTTGGCACATCACTGGCTTCCTTAACATCAGTTGTATCGACTCCATGTAGTAAGCTCCAGATTCGTACACCTACCCCTTTCTCTGACCCAGGACCAGCAAGCAGTTTTTCTATTGCTCCGGGCGAGATGTCAGGGTGGAGGCGCACATCGGCAACTGTCACAGGATTGTCACTCAACTCTGGAATCTCGGAAACACCTTTACTCATGTCAGCACCAGCCTGAGTACCCAGTAACTGGACAGTTTTAAACCCTAGCCCTGGAATTCTTCGCAATTTATGGCTGTCTACGAAGGCGATCACCTCGTCTTCAGTAATAGCCATTAGTGTCGTCTGGTTTCGAGGCTTATTCTTGCTGCCGACAAGTTTGCTGAGCATCTTGTTAGTAGAGATTCCACAAGTGGATGTAAACCCATGTTTTTCTTCCACCTGCTGCCGCAGGAACTGAGCAAAATGTGATCCCAAGATGAGGCGCATATAGGCTGGGTTGCTAAGGTCAGGGGTGGAATCGGGTAAGCCTTCAACACACCCAGCAATGCTCGTCACATCACAGTGAAATCCTCGTTCAGGATCACTTTTGGAAAGGCAAAAGAAGGAATCTTCCAGGAATGCCCGGTTGAGACAGGATAAGTTGTACTCAATGATATCCGTTACGTCTGCGAGAGCATTGTGGTCTCAGCCAACACTATAACTTGTTGAGGGTGGGAGATGGCAACATACCCATAAACACCTCATCAAATCCCAGACGTTCAACTTTGTGATTCCACGAAAAGGTTTTAAAGAAGTTGAACAGGGTCTTGCTCATGTCACGGAAGGGGGTAAGGTCTTCGCCGTCGACGAGGACAAGCTCTGGACACAGTCTTTTCGCTTCAGAGACGGACATAAGCTTTTTGAGACCGCGAGCCCGAGCATTGTAGTTGCAGGTCGCTAGACAATTCTTTTGCTTAACGCCCAGTGGCAGTTTCTTGAGCTTTGCGTCCTTGTTCTCAAAGACCTGTGCATAGAAACAGTCATAGTCCTATGCAGTCCAGCCAGTTAGCAACGACCGAGGTTATGATTGGAGCTTCTTGGTGACTGGAACCTACGAATTGCAGTATAATTCGAGCGTCATTCCTTTTAGGTCTCTTCTTCCTCGGCGGCTCCATCCTTGATTATGGCTGCCAACCTAATGAGCGAAGGATTGGGGAACATGGGCTCAAGTTTCATGTGCGAGCGGGCGGACAGCGGACAGACGGAAGTTGTCGAGAGTGAAATACAACTCAATATTAAGGCCTTGTTCATCAATTCGTTTGAATCTGCGGTCTTTTGGATTCGAATAATGAGTCTGCGTGCAACGGAAGAGCCGGTATATGAGATCAATTCTGGGCATCCATGAAATTATGGGAATGCACCATTAGTTCGGGTGCTCATTCACGGTGTGCCTGAGGTGGGCTGCAAACTTAGTAGTGGTGTTGCCTATAGGTACAGTACCAAGGTCCCTAAGATGTGCGTGCCCAGGCGCTGGGTCTGTCCACGATGGGGGGTGCCTGAGGCGTTGATGCGTCCTTACCTCCATTTCTATGGATGTGACTTACACCACGCCCTGCATCATCATCATCAAGTTGTCCGTATCAGCAAACAACGATTGGTTTTCTTGATGGTATCAATCACCTTGTATTTAATCGCCCGAAGAGCAAAACAGGTCTTGTTTTTCGAATCTGATAAGGCGCAGAGATATACGCGATATCTATACTTTTGTTTCAGGCTGCTCTCTCTCGACACATGGGACATACATGTTCGTGTCCACTGCGAATAAGCAAATAATTCTGCTTCATTCATTCCAATGAAGCGATATAAATCAATTTGCAATGGAAAACATCAACAGAGTTACGGGTGCGGTACCCATTATGTGACATGCTGGGTGCTACTGTATGTCTGTCATTCTCAGGAATACTGCAAACACCAACACCTCATCCCTGCTTTTGACGAGTAGGTGGACTCGATGCTCGGTTGGCTAATAAACAGTCACAATCTTGCAGGAGAAGTCAACATCTTGTCTGTACGATCCAGCCACTTCTTCAACTGTCTCCGATCCTTCTCAACTCAAGCGAGTCTGACTCTAGTCCCCCCGCTTTGATCCTTGTCCAGACATACACTACGACGCAGTTGCAGCCATCCACAGTTGTGCTGTAGCCGCCCAAGTATATGCTCGATTTGCGAGAGAAGGTTGTCTGGCCCAGCCAATGGCGTCAACTCTGGGCTTTGCAAGACTTGCATGCGGACAAGACATCCTTACCGCACTTTGTCAATTGTTTCTGGACTTTGGTTGTTGTCGACAATCACTCTTCTCATCACATTTGTTATTGTTTGTTTGAAGACTGTCAGCGCTTTTGTGTCAGCCCTAACTAAACAAGCGCAATTTCAACAAAGATGGCCGAAGCTTTGAAAACAAGGACAAGCCTTGTCCATTTCACGGCTTAGAACATGGCTGAGCATCACCCCGCCGCCGTTGGGTTATTGTTCTTGTCGAAGGATCATACCGACTTTTCGAAAAAGCCCCTAGACACTTGGGAAGGATCGTCTTTGTTTATACATGCAAGAGAAACTCTCAAAAGCATGACGATAGGGCAAATGACCAGTCATTCTCTTCTCAACTCCTCCATGCCAAGGCGCCATGTCGTCTAAGGGAGGGGACATTTCCACCCTCTTGCATAGACGCCAGCGCGAGTGAAAGAGCCGACTTGTTAGCCGCGTGATTGGACATGATTAAAGCTCACCAGGATCATACATCAACTTCGGCGCTTGCGCCTCTAACGCTTCCCACCAAGTTGCTCTGGCGAGCCAACCACAGCAGCCGCCAATGACATCCTCGTCAACTTGCTACGCTTCTGGCAGGTTAGAGTCTCCCAGGGCTGAATCCTTCTCAACCCCCCAATATTTCCGCGTCTAGGTCATGGAAGGCTTATCACACTGCATGCATCCCTAGGGGCGCTTGTTTGGGTGTCAAGACTGGGTCAAAGAGCAGATGAAAGCCCTGGTCATGTCTCCCCGCCCACTCAAGATCCAGTGAGATGCATGTCTCACTGTGTATCATCCTATATAGACGCAATGTCCTCGTTTCTCGCTGTTTGTTCGTGTTGTTTCTGCGTTTTTTGACATTGCAACGTTTTTATAATCCCTGTCGGTTCCGGCCTCTCGGTAACAGCGTCTCCGCCTAGGCCTGTTGGACGTTGGACGTTGGTTGCTTGTCTGTTGGCTGATAGACACAGTCACTTGCAACTCAACGAGGGAATTTGGCAGCTCATCTCTTGTGTACTCGGGCACAACAGCCTTCTTGGTCTACCTATCAACTACAACTACAGTTACAGCTACATCTAGCATCATGGCATCTTCTCAAGCTCCGCCCAAGAAGCCCCGGCTTTCACTTCAGATCAAGACAGCATGTAGTCCGGCCACCAGGTCATCAAGAAGTTACGCAGTGGACCCCAAAGATCCAACTGCCTTTAACACGTTGTCCAATGTCTACGTTACTACAATCGAAAGGGCTGCCCCATCTCAGCATGAGCCTATTACTGCCATCAATACTTTACAAGCTTTCAGCTTGACAACTCCAGTGGAACGACAGGACCTGAAACACAGAGTTGTTACGCCTTATGTCGCTTCATGCCCTGAGACTCCTTCATCCGATACAGCTCCTTCGCCACATCCAGGACTGGAAATCAACTACCCGAGCACAATGACGGCCACGCCTCCTATGTCTGCGGGTCCAATGGATTCAAACACTCCCAAGGCCTTTAGCTTTTCCCCTGCTGATATATCCGCGGCCCCAGCAAGGGATGGTAGCTTACAACCCGAGAAGCGTGCTCTTGCTCGCCCGGAAACTCTTGCTGAGTTGACCCTACAGGCCCCTTACACACATCCTCGATCACTTCACAGTATTTTACGCAACTCGCCTCTTCCTCCACCTACAGCCATTCCTCCTCCGTCTCCACGGCGACAGTCACGGCGGCTCCAAGACAGAGCAAATCGAAGAGTGTGCTATAATAACCCCCTCACTCAGGAGATTGTGACAAACAAGTACACGAAATCTCACATTGACCTCCTTGTTGAAGAGGCTTCACCACACTCCCCTCCATGTGTGCCCCCTCAGCCTCAGAGTGCCATCCATCTAGCCTTGGCATTCACACCAAACGAGATCCAAGATGGAGGGCAGACACCCGGGCCCTTTGAGGATATGCGTCGCCGCATGACAGGACTGGCCGCATCAGGTACTCCGCTTTCCCCGTCAGGGCCCAAGGGAATCTCAAAGCGCAAGAAAAGGGAGAAGAAGCGTCGGTGGGTATGGACAATTGGCCAAGAGGATGATGGTGATGACGAGAACATTGGGGGCTCCATTGCTGCCCTAAGGGCTGAGGCTGCCAAAGCCAAGGACGTTGAAGAGATCAAGACACCTGTGACGGCCATCAAGGCACCCCTCATCACCTTTCTCACGGCACCGACACCAAAAACGGATAAATTTCAGAGCTTGAGCGGCATCTTGAAAGAAGATAACGACGTTGAAATGTCTGACGCGAGCAGTTGTCTTTCAGTGCCAGAAGGATCTCAACACATGACTGGCGAGATGGACTTGGATCTCAAGACTCCAATCGCGCGCCAAGATGAGGAGAGCCAAGTCATACTCATGCTACCAGAAAATACTCTCAGTAGACTTGGTCCCAGTCCTGGTCTAAAGAGGGATTCTCCGGTGCCGCCAGATATGCTACGTACAGATTGAATAGGTGACAGGAAAGACACGGATGTTTGATTATTGGGTTTTTTACATCACCGGCGGTCTTGGAGCATTTGATTAAACGGAGTTCTGTCAATGTAATTATAAGGAGGATTCGGTAACAAGGAGATACCGAGTTCGAAAGTGGGTATTTATGAGAAATGAATACATTAAACGGACATGAAATTATCCCTTAGCTTAGTTCTGTATCTCGTGCGTTTCCATTGCAATGCACAGAGTAGCCCTAACACAATATCGTTGGTCCCAGTCACGGGATGTGTTGATGTACCTAGTCAACAGAACCAGGGAGTTCTATCTAGGGTAACTGCAAATCGAGTCACTGGTGGGTTCTATCACAACAAGTGATCGTGATACCTAACGAGTAATTAGAAACACGATCTAGCGCTTGTAATCGGGTTGGTTGACAAGGAAGCCGTAGATCATATTATTAATATGGCTTGAACTTGATTAAAACGTGGTTACTCCGGCTGGAAGTAACCTTGCCATTTATGTATATCAAGACTCCATTCTGCTTCTAGGAATATTATGGATGCCCTTCTGGATATGGTTGGAAATATGTATCAATGGTGTCATATATACAGTAATACCTACATAGTGCATAATTGCGTCTGCATGGACATTTAAGACAATCTCAACCTCGGTTTTGGTTTATGATGAACTTGGTTCGCTCCTTGGCCAGTTGATTTTATCTTCTTGATGTATGGTCTGGAGTCTTCTGGGGCCCAAAGGCTTGTTTATTAGAGATTGGCAGTAATATATCCTATGACGGATAGACGAGCCTACCAAGATGGCCATAAATATCGAAAGTTGTTAAAATACAAACAAGAGATATGATCCTAGAGGCCGCTGAGACCTATCTCTCAACGAAAACGCCATGGGATCACAGTGTTCAGCCGAATCCTCACGCTATTGAAACAGTTGTGCCCCATCCGTGTCTTAACACGCGGGAAGTCATGCACGAGTCAACAAAGACAGCAGACCCAGACGTACTCATACGTTAATTCATAAATTTCTCGTAGCAAACGCTCAAAATACCATTACGTGTCCCCCGGTGCGCGCTCAGCTCTCAACAGAGAGTGCCTTGGCACCAATCAGCTTGCCGTCAGCGTGCGAAACCACCCAATACTCGGTCCTCGTAGCATCTCTCGTCACTTGATATACACGAACGTCATTACCCTGCGAGGCTTCTCGAACAGCCTCGATGACGTCGGTGTACTTTCCGTGGGAATCCCAGTTGAGAGGATCAAGGATCTTGATGTCCGCCGAGTCGGGGGAGGAGTGGTTGATGAGTTTGGCGAATTCGGCTAACAACATGTCAGTTTACCATCTTCATAGGTAAGAGAGTAGCTCCTACACTCGCTGGGGAGGCCATTCTTGCCCTCCCACTTGAGGGAAACCTCTTGGAAGGGCTCGTCTGCGTCGGATGTGTATACGGCGTTCTTGCACACGTCACTGATAGGTTTGGGGACTTGAGCGCCCTGGTCCTTGGTCTTGAAGGTAGCCTTTTCTTGAGTCGCGGCATCAGCGCCGGTGTCTTGGTTGGCCTTGTTCAGGAAAGCCATGTAATCGTCGTCGTTTGACATGTTGAGGGATCTGGTGTTGCTGAGTAGTCTTGTGTTGTGTCGAGAGGTAGCTGTAGCTGTTCGTGGGAGGAGGACGGTTTGATTCCGGGTCAAAAGAGAGCCAAGAAGATTCAGGTTTGCAAGGCGTCTGAAAGTAGTTCGAAGTGTCATTGGGAGAGGAGAGGTCTCAGCTCAGGCGTCAAGTCAAAAGCTGTAACGCAAATGCAGATGCAAGTTTGGGGAGTGGGGTGACGTCAGGCATGAGATTCGCGGCAGGAATATATCGACCAATCACAAGCCGTAGATCAGCACCATCCTAAAATTAGTGGGTTATTAGTCAGTACTAACGTCTATCGAGAGTGTACCTGATCATCCTTGCGGACGAGCAGCAGCCACTTATTTATACACCTTTGGAGTCAGTCATCAGAACATCTAGCTTTTCAGCCAAAAGCAAGATCTTGGGCGATTATAAGGGCGACGAATATGTTGCCAGTATGTGTTTATTGGTGTGCTGAAGCCTCCTTTACAACCCATCCTTACCGCAGTACATAGGTAGTGCGCTTATACCTACAACTTTGATTCAACTAGATGCCGGCTCTCCTCAGACGACCCAAGAACTTATCCTCCTTGAGTTCCTCCAAATCAATATCAAAGAACTTGGCATACAAAGGTGCCAAGTGATGAGGCCCGCAAGGTCGAGCATCGCCACTAGCACGCCGTTTGTCGAGGAAACCGCCCAGAAGTGTTCGAACTGCGGTTTCGAAACTCTTTCCTTGCTGTGAGATCAAATCTCGATCGATAATCTCGATATCGTCAGCTGCAGCTGAAACATGCTTGGCAAGGTCAACATCTATTATCGCTGCTTTGACCACCGCAGCTTGTCCCTCATCAAAGTATGGGACACTGATATATCGCTCGTCAGTCGTAGAGTTGAGGCGCTTCTGTGAACGAGAATCTTTGGTGACGTTGAGGAAATCGTGGAGAAGAACCCGGATCCTGTAGCCAAGTATAGGGTCCGCTGCGATAGTTGAGGTCGTAGTGAGCGCACTTGCTGGTGCACTCGAAGCGGCTCCCGTGCTATTATTGTTCTTGCTCTTCTTTTTCCCCATGATTGCGTATATATCAGGGGATGAACAAATAAAGAATAATTCCTGTCTGCAACTGGTAGATATTGACTGCGCAAGGTCAAGGTTGAGTTCGAATAAACGTGAATCACAAGGGAGCTTCACTTGGGAATAATAAACTTTGCAAAAAAGGCAAGCATAAAATTAGAAACATACATCTTGACATGGAACAGTACAATAAAGCGTGTCTAAACTATAACCAAGGTTAAGGCAACAACTATGTGATCCACCGAGACTTGATAATATGGTGTTTCTTTCAGCCTAACATATGGTGCTCTCCTTGTATTGCTATGAATATCACTCCTGTTGTGGTATCTGGCCTGCGTGTCTTTTGCCTCATTCGCTTTTATATATTCCTAGATTAGCATCTTCAGATCTTGAAAAAAAAAAAAAAAAAAGCCAATTGGCCCATGCAGTACTCCGTAGTCTACGCAGCTCGAGGCGGATGATGGGGTGAGAGCATGTAAAAAGGCAATTTAGCCTCACGACAATATAGGCATATATATCTGCTTGTCTCGACAAAAGAGTTTCGTCAAGACAGCTACAGAGGGGACACAAGCTCAAGTCAAACACACATTCACCGGAGAAAGAAGGTACAGTCATATTAACATTGGGAATCTCGTTAGAATTTTTGAAAGCCATCCCTCTTCTGGCTGGACTTTTTTTTTACGTTCCACGCCAGTTGTAACCTAACCCAGCCCAAACGCAAGGCGTACAGTAGTAACGAACCAACCCTCGACACCGGTGCAATGAATTGGTCAAGACAAGAAAGAAAACAAGCAGCCGCTCTAAGCGGAGGCAAGATCCTTCTTGAGGGTACCCTGGTACTGCTTCTTCTCCGCAGGGGTCTGGAAAGCACCGTGTCCGAACTCGGACGAGGTGTCGATCCACTTGAGGCTGACCTTCTCGAGGGCTTTTCGGGAAGTCTGGGGGAACATGGTCTTTCGGAGGGTCATGACTCGCTTCTTGGTACCAGGGATAGAACCCTTGACCATGACGAAGTCGTTGTTGACCTCACCATAGCGGACGAAACCACCGAGACTATCAAAGTGTTAGCAACTGTCCGTCAGCCGATACCTGGCAGGATTGGGTCAACATACGGAGTGATGGTCTTCTTGGTGACGTCGATCTCAGTGGCGGCGTTGTCGTCAGCGTCGCCCTTACCAATGCGGTAGATCTTGTGGTTGACCGAGGTTCGGTGATGGTAACCTCGCTGACCAGCACGGGCAACAGTCCACTGGACGTGGGAAGGATGCCAAGCACCGATACAAGCAACCTTTCGGAGACCCTTGTGAGTCTTGCGAGGAAGCTTCTTGGTACCCCAACGGGCGGTGACACCCTCGAATCCGTGACCCTTGGTGACGGCAATCACATCAATAACCTCATCCTGCTCGAAAATGCTGGAAATGTCAACGGGCTTCTCGAAGAGCTCATGGCCGAAAGAGACCTTGTCGGCGATGGAACCACCGTTGACCTGGATCTCCATGAGGTGGGCCTTCTTCTGCTTGAGAGGGGTCTTTCGGATCTGGGTGTGGGCGAGGACACGGACGACGGTGCAGTACTTCTTGATGCGCTCGAGCTCGCGGGTGATGGAGGCACCGCTGTTCTCGGAGTGCTTCTTGGCGTACTTGGTGAAAGCCTTCTTCTTGCTCTTGTACCAGTTCTTGTAGAATCGGCGCTTAAGCTCGTCGCCCAGATGCTCGGCCCAGACGGTGGTGAGGGATCGCAGGCCTCGGGGAGTCTCGATGTATCCCACAAGACCAACAACGATCATCTAAAAGATGTTAGCCATAGGCACATAGCCAAGCGGGCTGCATTGTTCGTACAGGTGGGGTATCGACGATAGTAACAGCCTCCACAACCTCCTTCTTGTTGGCCTTGGCGCCAGGTCGGTCGAGGTCACGAACGATGGTGGTCATACCAGCCTTGTAACCCATAGCGGCTGTCAGGTGGACAGGCTTCTTGGGGTCATCCTTGGGGAAGCTGTTGGTCCCAATGCATTAGCCAATGTCTTCCTCAGCTGGGAGAGATTGCCAAAAAGATCTTTTTTTTTTCTATCTTTGCTGATGCAGGAGAAAATACTCACGACTTGACCTTTCCACGGTGACGAGCAGCGCGCTTCCTGGGCAGATAAGCCAGGGAGCCGTGGCGGGGAGCCTCATACTTTCGGTGCTGTACATATTGTCAGTTTGTCCAAACTGAAGCAATTGCTTTCGTTGCTGAGATCTTCACTCACACTCATCTTGGGCTGGCTGTGTGGTTTGAGGGGGTTAGTATGAACCTGAGTTGTCAAAGCCTGAAAAAGAAGAGATAAAGAAATAAACTGTGGGCGAAATTTTAAGCGAATCGCTCGAAATTCGTGGGGTGGCCCGTGCACAGCAAGACTTTCACTCACCGAGCCGACACCGAAAGAATCGAGGGCTAGATTCTACACCGACTAGACCGAAGAACCCTTCAACTACTCACGTGACTTTAATCGTTACTGAAGGTGGTCTAGCGTGCTCATGTACAGTCAGGACTCAGGCAGCAGGGGTAGTGTGAAATGTCTACAGTCCAACGTCACTGGATGGATGAACACGGTTTGTCAGGTGTATAACAACACAAGATACAACTGAGTTTTATTGATCAGAGTAAGGAAATTAATGTGCATAATACTCTTGTTCGCCGGTGAAATCGTAGCCAAGAAGGACCATAACCCCCGGTTTTGAATTTCTGTCTTCAGCCTCCCCGTCCAAACAAAAGAAACCACGCCCCCAGATAATAGTGGTATACAAAAAGGCAGAGACTAATCGGCACAGATAAAGAGATGTCTTCAACTCATAAATAACAAGCAGCTGTCAAACTGGCATTCATTCAACTTTTGTGACCGTACCAGAAACCCCGTTTACACCAGCATTCGCGGGAGTGGATGTCTTGGCATCTCCAGCCGCCGAGCTGGGACCAGAGCCATTTGTGACAATAGTCGCCTTCTTCTCGTCTTCCCCGCTATCATCGTAGTCCTCGTCAACGTCCATCTTTCTTGCTGCTCTTTCAGGCTCGACAGGGGGAGCTGCGCGAGGAGGAGGTGGCGCATGTTCCAGGCTTGGGGGACGATCTTCTTTAGGTGTAGCAGATACTGGTGGCTTCTCATGCACCACGCCAGACATCGGAGTAGGTGGCTGCTGCATTGGTGGTAAGTGGCTGGGACCGGAGGCGTGGCTCGGGGGGTGGTGGGCTGCTTCTGAGGGATGATAGCTCTCAGTGGCATGGCGAGGGGCTGATTCGGGCCTGCGGGGTTCCTCGCGACGTGGTTCATCAGGTCGACGAGCATCATCAGGTCGCCGAATTTCGGAAGAGTTACGACGATAGTTGTCACGAGGAGGAGTAGACGGTCTTCGATGACGCATGTCTTCGAGTCGAACTCGGTTTTCCTCACTGGCTTGCTTCTTGGCAGCAGATTCTTCTTCCCACTCTCGCATGCGCTTGGGGCCCACTGAAGGTGGCCGGTCATCCATTCTCTGCATGGCAGCCTCCGCCACTGCGGGTGGAGGAGGCGGTCCTGGCGGCCCGGATGGTCCTTGGGGGCCATTCTCAGTTCCCTGAGCAGCCATCTCAGGATGTTGAGGATACAGAGGAGGGGCCTGATGCTGGGGGTATGCGGATTTTGGTGAAGGCATGCGGTTGTCATGAACAGGGCGGCCATCAGGTCGAGGGCTGTTGGTAGGCCGGAAAGGAGCCATGCCGTTAGGACCGTTGGGGCCATTAATGTTGCTGGGTGGGGGTGCTGATGCTGATGGTGTCGCTCCACCCCAGTTAGGATTTGCGACTCGTCGCTCAGAAGCGGGAGCAGAAGGCTGGGATTGTGGAGGAGCGTGTGGTGGTTGAGAGTACTGATGGCCGGGAGGAGGGGGTGTTTGACCACGGCGAGGTCCGCCTCGGTTGGGATCGTTATAGGGCTGGCGCAACTGCTCTTGCTGAGGGCTAGGTTGTCGCAGAGGTGGTGCAGGTCCTCCCCGGAAAGGCTCGCCTCGTGCTTCATAGGGATTGGGGGGTTGCGGTGGAGGGTTGATGTTGGACAGTCTGCCCGCCCAGTTCTCTCCTGGGCCTTGAGGAGGTGGTGGAGGACCGGCAGCAGGCGGCTGTTGAGTCGATCCTCCCCATTGTGGTCCGACAGGGCCAGCGGCCTGGTAAGCTTGTGGGTGAACATCTGCAGGCTGAGGAGCAGGAGGAGGTCCGCCATTGGTACCACCAGAGCGAAGGAGCTGAAGTCTTGCCTTGATATGGGGGTTGTTAGGGTCAAGTTCAGCAGCACGCTGGTAAGCATCTAGAGCATCCGTAATTTGGTTGTTACAGCTTTCGTACTATCAAGTTGTCAGTATACAACGAAGGGGAAAAAGTTTGACCGATACAAACATACCAAAGTTCCCAGATCATACCAGACCTCTGAGATATAAGGGTTCAGCCTGATGGCGCGAGAATAAGCGTCAAGTGCATCCCTGTACTGGTTGATTTGATAGTAAAGCACGCCGATGGAGCACCAGAAAGTTGGGTTCTTTCCATCTCTATAGACAGCTTGTTGATAAGCCTCATAAGCTTTTGGATACTTCTGCTGCGACATATAGCATCGGCCCAAGAGATACCAACTCTGGGCATCCTGATTGTCTGGCCGCATGTTAGAATAGGGATTCAAATTGTTTTGCTTTCGTAACATACCTGCGCCCACCGACTTCTCCAAATATTGGATGGCTCTATCTTGGCTCTCATACGTGTTGCTCTGCTGGTGATGCAGCCAACCAAGCTGTTGAAGAACCTTAGCATGGTTGGGTGAATGGTCCAGAACACGTTGGTAGGCAGCCTTAGCGCTATCGAACTGTATAAAATTAGGGATGCGCCATGTTTGCTAGGGCAAGAAACTTACATCCTTCTGCTGCTCATGAACATGACCAATCTGGAACCAGATGTCTTCCTGCGTCAAGGGACCAGGAGGAGAATTGACAATGTATTTGAAGCACTGCAGAGATTAGCTATACGCATCAAAAGTGGGCACAAGACCAGAACGTACTTCAAGACTCTGAACCCACTTGTTCTGTTGTTTGTATATTATACCGAGTCGGAAATAGATCTCATTTGCTTTCTCGAAGTCAGGCTGTATGTTCATAACTTGAGAGAACGCTTCTTCGGCGTAATCGTAGCTGCCATATCGATCGTACAGTATGCCAATACCATACCACAACATAGGATCCTGCGTTGTCTTGTCAGCATGTTGCGAGTAATGCGAATATTCCACCTGGCGTGCAATTACTCACCTTGGGGTCTCTCAAGTTAACCAAAGCCTGTTGATATGCATCGTAGGCCTTTTGTAGATTTTCTGTCATTAAATAACAGTGTCCTGAGTAATTGGTCAGCGTCGTGCTGTCGCGTCATGGCAGCAAACATACCAAGGTTTCCCCAAGCTTCGCCGTTGTTGGGCTCAAGCTGAACGATGGCGCGGAAGAACTCGAGCGCCTTCTCGAAAGCTTCACGGGTCTTGTAGAGGAGGCCAATTGCGTTCATGGCCTGGGTTGAGTTGGGGTTCGCCTGAAGAGCGCGCTCGTATGCCTGCATGGCTTCATCCGGATTGCGCAAAACCTCTGCATAGCTCCCTATACATACGTCAGCCTATGTCGTCTTGTCTTGCGAACACGACGCGACAACCACTAACCTATTTGCAACCAAACAGCCTCATTCATGGCCGCGATCTGATGTGATGGCGCAAACTGAGGCGGCGGCGGAGGAGGAGGGGGCACCTGGCCCTGATGCTGTTGCATTTGCATCATGGTCGGCGACGCGTGATGGTTCGCCATTAGGTCGGCACTGAAACTGGCGATGATGGAGTTGCTATGGTGCAGCAGGGGTCGGACTTGACAGCTGATGTGCGACAGACGCGAAGTCGAATTAATACCACGTGGGCTGAGGGAAAGGAGAGTCGCGGTCGTGATTCAGAAAGCTGCTCCAACTCAAGGGTTCGTGATGAGTTGATGATAGTGGCCCCTACCAAGCGAGTAACAAGGGCGAAGCGAATTGGACAAAACGTCTAAGCAGAGCCGCGGCTAAGGCTGAAGCACTGCGAAAACAATACACAGGGAGATCGAGGGTCAATGGCAGCACAGATGGGAATAGAAGATAGCGGGATGAAGGGAGAGATAGGATACAGGGCAATCCAAGGCGCGACGGATGAGGCCTTTCGCGGACATGGAATGCGTTGCAGAAGAAGAAAGTGAGGAGTACAGGATGGGGAGAAAGGACCTGAGCAAACCCGTTCCCAAACTTACCTTACCCACGACCAGCGGGCAATTTAAGCGCACGGTGGCGTGGAGTGGGATGGGGGATACCTATGAACCCACTCACACACACTACCCGGACTCCATCCAACTCAACGCACGCGCTCTCGAGGCTCGAGGCTCACTCACTCACAGTTATGTTGGGTTAGTTTAGGTTCGGTTAGCTCATAGCTTACACCTCACACCTTTCACCTCACCTCAGTTTCCGATGCTGTACCCGGCAAACCACACCCTCCCTACAACGCCAACCTACTCTGGCTTAGCCTCCATGCATAGGTAGCCTTCACTCTCTAGTCCCCTACGTCCCTACCGCCTACTGCCCGGTGGCGGCGGTTTACAGGCACGTACCACCTAGAGAGAAGTACCTACGTACTGGACCTGATACCAGCCATGCAACTGCAACTGCAAGTCTGCAAGCTGCACGCTCAAAAGGTAACCTAAAGCTAAGCATGAGATAAATATGGGGCACCGAGCAGGTCCCTGTCTTTCTATTCTGCGACCTACGGATACCTTACGGATCAGTGGCGCTTTGCGCAAGGGATTACAGAGGCTCCGCTTCAACCTTTCAGTTGACACGACGCATCGCAAGAACGAGGAGGACTCGACAAGCGGGAGTCATCAGAGTTATATGATTTGGCTGTGATTTTGGAGGTTCGAACGTTCATTCACCATACCATTTTATGCCCTATTATCGATATAGATATTATGAATCAAAGTACGGGCGTGCATGTCCTGTCACGTCCGCCTACATTGACATTGATATTCCGCCTCTGCTTATCTGGTGCTGATCAGAGTGAGGGCGGATGAAAAAACGTCATGGAATAATTCGGCCAGAGCCTTTAGCACCATATATGAGAGATACCATGTTTTGGCGAGTTCACATCAACCGCCGCCACAGCGACCTTTGTGCTATTATTCAGTCTGTCATGTACGGCCGCATAGA